CGGGAGGGTGGACGATGGAGGGGCCGACCGATACTGGGTCGACGGTTGCCGCAGCAGAACGCCGCGGACGCATGCGCGAAAATGCGTCGCACCGCGGACGGGGAGCGCGTCTACGTCGAGTGGAGCCTCCTGGAGCCATGCGGAGTCGTCGGCGATGAAGGTGAGAGCGCCGAGACGGATCTCTTGACCCTTGACCAAAACTCCAGCAGACACCATGATGAGAGTACTCGGAAGAATCGCAACTTCTCCACAAAATCGCTAAAACACCTGCCCCACGGTGGGCGCCAACTGTCGTGGTTCTAAGCCGGACAGTAGAGTGGGGGGTAGGTATGGAGAGGCAAGGTCCTAGCTATGGAGAGGTTGTAAGCACAAAAGATGTACGAGTTCAGGCCCTTCTCGGAAGAAGTAACAGCCCTACGTCTCGGAGCCCGGAGGCGGTCGAGTGGATTATGAATGTATGAATTACAAGGTGCCGAACCCCTCTGCCTGTGGAGGAGGGTGGCTTATATAGAGTGCGCCAGGACCCTAGCCAGCCCACGCAGGAGAGGGTTTAAGGTGAGTTAAGTCTGGGGCGTTACTGGTAACGCCCCACATAAAGTGCCTTTACTATCATAAAGTCTACTTGATTACAGGCCGTTGCAGTGCAGACTGCCTCTTGACCTCCTGGTGGTCGAGTGAGTCTTCGTGGTCGAGTCCTTCAGGCCAGTCGAGTGTGTCCTCATTGGTCGACTGGAAGGCGACCTCTTCTAAGGATGTCTTGGGGTAAGTTACTTGGAACAGGTCCATGACCCTACCCTAGGTACATAACCCCATCACCTATAGCCCATCTCAAATTTCAGCATGGTTTTCTTTTGGATTTTTGCTTAGTGGAGACCGTTTCTTCTCCTTTCCGGCGGACACTTCGGGGACAGCGGTGGTCGAAGTTTTTGGTCAATGTGTTGGTGGTTGCAGGAATGAAGAAGGATTTTTCTGCATAATTCCTTTGTTGGGAGTGTTTCATGTACTTTCTCTTGGTGTGCTATCTCTTTAGATTTCTTGAGAGAGATGCTACATTTGCTGTAATCTATTGATGTTATTAATATAAATGTGGCACTTCTCGTAAAATGACTGGGCCACATACAAATTTCGATATCGAGTATTTTCCTCACTTGCTATTATATTTTCACGGGTGATTTGCTTCGAGTTGCCTGCGCCCCTACGTTTAGTGTGAGAGTGGGTCGGACTTCAGACACTTGTTCAGGTATGTTCGCTCTGGGCGAAGGAGGGATTTCCGTTAAACACTGAATACCAACTGCTGTGGGTTTGGTAGAAAGTCAAGAGGTGAAAGTAGGGTTAGAAACTTCAGTCCTTTATTGGCATTTTGGCTTATACTGCAGGAACAATCGACACAAAGAAATTATATTCTCATCCCATTAGCTAAGACTGCCCAGTCGAATTTTCAGACACAAGACTGAATCAATTCCTCTAAATTGTTGTACGACGACCCACCTTCCTTCAGAGAAGCGTTTGCTTTCGCTTTACATGCCAGAGCCTTCCTCCTCATGTCCTCCCCTTCATCCCCTCCATCCATCAGCTTCTCCAGAGCGCTGTTGACTTGCTCCGCCCCAACCTCCGCCTCCGCCTCTCCGCTGCCATGTTTGCCAGCGGTCAGGACGTTGGCCGTTGGCTTTGTCACGCCGACGGACACCCCGATGCCAAGCACGTCCACGATCAGCTTCTCGTTCACGAACTGCTCGGCGAACAGAGGCCAGGTGACCATGGGCACGCCGGCGGCGACGCTCTCCAGGGTCGAGCCCCACCCACAGTGCGTCATGAATCCGCCCACCGCCGGGTGCGCCAGGATGGCCACCTGCGGCGCCCACCCGCGCACCACGAGGCACTTGCTGTCCGCGTCGCCGTCGCCGTCGGTGTTCTCACGTAGCCACACCTTCACGTCGTCGGGCAACGAGTCAGCGCCTCTGATAACCCACATGACAGGCCAGCGGCACGAGACCAGGGCCATGCCGAGCTGCATGAGCTGCGCGGGCGGCATGCACCCGGCGCTGCCGAAGCTCACGTACACCACGGACTTGGCCTTCTTGCCGTCCAGCCACGACATGCACCGCCTCGCGTCATCGCTCTGCGGGTCGAGACTAGGTGCGCAGCACAGAGAGACCGGCCCCACGGCGAGAACTTTCCTGCCTGCGGCGGCCGCGAGAAGCGCCGTGGAGCCGTGCTCCAGCTCGTCGAAGCTGTTCACCACGACGCCGTCCATGGCCATGTCGAACTCCCGGACCTCCTGCATCACCCCGCTCCCCATGGACGTGGATGGCAAGAAATGCGGCGGCAGCTGCCTAACGAGGATCTTGCACTCGAACGCCTGCAGGACTGAGATGTCGACGAGCTCGTCCGGAGACGCAATCCCCTCTTGCCGGCCTTGCCTGTAGAGGTGCTCGATGCAGAGCAAGGCGAACGCGCCGAAGCCGTGGAAGATGTAGCAGGGCACGCCGAGGTCTCGCGCCATGGGCAGCGTCCACGTGTGGCACATCCCGGCGACGATGCAGCTCGGCCGGCGTTGCGCATCCCGAAGGCAGTACTGCGCCACCGCCTCGCCGAACTTCTTGTTGGCTTCGAAGAAGCTAGGCACCATGGCGGGGGACGTGATCAGGTCCAACCTCTCGCACCCCTCCGGCAGGCCGGCTTCGGCGGCCGGGAAGGGGATCGCGGTGACCGCGAGCGCCGTGCCGCCCAGGGTGACACGGTCGACGCGGCTCTGGACAAGCGACGCGTTGGCGGGCGTCGTGATGATGGCGACCGACGCTCCATGGGAGGCGAGAAGGCAGCCGATGTCCGTCATGGGGACGATGTGGCTGATGCTTCCTATCCATGGGACGAGCACAAAGTGAGGCTTTCTGGCGGTCTCCATTGCCTGTTACTGTGCTGCACTATGGTGTCCACAAATTCGACAAAGTTTGGTATGACTGAAAATTATGAGATGGGAACTATGGCTCTTAGTTTGTGTGCGACGAGCTGCTGGGTAGGATCTTGTTTTATATGCAGGTTCCGTGACCCGCGCGATGTGTGTCGACACATTGGGTGCACATGCGTATGCAGACGCAAGTAGCGGTCTTATTGCTCCATGATTGATATTTGATAAACTAGGAAATTAGTTGTCCTGGGCGGTGGTCGGGGCTTCAAAGGGCAAAGACGAACGAACATTCCACGCACACTACTAGAGACATGAGTTTTAGCCACCAAGGTGATCGGTTGCTAAAGGTACAAAATTGGTGGCTAGTGGTCTATTGGTACCAACACTACTTGGTCGCTTCGTGGTGGCTATAGTCTAGTCGCTATAGATATTGAGCGACCAACATTGAGAACCCTGGTCACTAAATGTCATACCAATAGCTACCAACCAAATCTGGTGACTAATGGCATCTAGGGACCAAGGGAGACTTGGTGACTGATGACATCTAGAGACCATGGACGACTTGGTTGCTAAAAATGTACAGCAACCATGTACATGGTTAGTGGCTAGAGATATCAAGTGACCAGCCAAGGCTTGGTGACTAAAAGAATGTAGAGACCAACTACATGTTGGAGACTAGACATCTTTTGTAACCAAAAAATTGTAAACCTTGGTAACTACAGGCATGAGAAAGCAACTATATCATAGGTACAATATATTGTCACACGCTGACATTTGCAGTATGCAAGAAATCTCAGAATTTTAGACATTTGGCAGTTCAAAACCAACATTCAGAAGTTCAGAATCAACATTTGTAAACTTATGATCCAAACATTACATGCTAAACTGAATTTTGTTTTGCAAGTAGGAAATACCACTCTAGCATTTGCAAAGTACAGTACCACGTTTAGTACTGATCTGAACATATGATCCAATCAGTAAACCCCAATATGATCCAAACATTACATTTAGCATTTGTACACTGAATTTTCTTTAGATCCAACTAGTTTTCTCTTCTCAGTCTTTAGCGCGAGTATTGCTTTCTGCTGCTCCTCCAAGGTCATCTCCTATATAATGGTGGCCAGAGCACATGTTATTTCATTAACAACACCAGACATAACAAACATCAGAAAGAGTGCAAGCATGCCAATAAACTAAGCTAGAGACACCAAATTGCCAGTCACTTGATCAGCTTTGCCATAGCTCAGAAGCTCAACAACACAGGAAGAAAAACTGCACACATACATAGGAAATACATTTGTACGTAGCTAACTCTGAATCACCTACCTACTTTGCCACCTACCTACTTTTAATTTCTACTATACATTTGTACATAGCTAACTCTGAATCACATTATTCTCCAACTCCCATGGGTCAGAAACCAATAACTATCCAATTGTCCACCAAGAGACGTCGCTGGATAATGAACTAACGAATCGTGTGAAACCAACATTAAGGAACATGGTCAGGTCAGGTCTAGCAAAAGTAAACAGACTGCATACGTGATTACATCCAAGACTTGAGCTAATCTACGTACACTTAATATTATCAGCGTCGCAGCAAACTAATCAAATAAAAATGAGCGCATTAAATTAACTTAAACTGGTGTTAATAACCAGAGTGCATGGGTGGTGGCAGAACTCGACTAAGCGAGAGTAAATGTGGTCAAGAGAATTCAGTCAGATAAGTAGATTGATCTGGCATTTTGAAGAAGCAACGGGGTGGATCTAGGTGCACCGGCACACCCAAAAATTCAGAGGCCAGTAGTGTTTAAGGCTAGCTAATCGTCAATGAAGAAATGGCAAGTTAACTAGTGCCAAGCCGTGTCATTCGCCCAAGACGAGAAAGACAAGCTTGTGCCGGGGATTAACTAATAGAATGACTAGGTAAGGCAGAGAATTAATCGGCAATGCAATGTGCCTTTCTTGAGATGTGGTAGCAGGCACGAAAAGCAGGGAAAGTGCAGCATTGAATCGTGTCGGCCAGGGGAAAGCACTGCAGGAGCGTGTTTGGTTGGTGAGGTAAACAACATAAAATAAAGCTAGCAACCTGATCATGAATACCTGGACCCTCCATCCGACACCAGAGAGCCTGTGATTCACAAATTTGGACCATCAAGATTAAGATCATGAAGAAATTTGCCAAATCACATAGTATTTTGATTGTTTGAAGGAGAGGCAAACTGATCATACCATTGCCATCAGAAGAAGAAGTTGGAGCAGGTCTATATCCTGGCCTCAAATGACTGTTGAAAATGTATACATGTATTACTAGCTATACATTGGAATTTGTAAGTCCATATATTCATGATGAGTATCTTCATTTTCTGTTACAGAATTATTAGCAAGAACTATCTTGATTAGAAGATCTCGATACCAAGTACACTGCTATATCTAAGCAAGCTGCAGGTGCAGGAGGCATCATCTAAAATACCAGAGCATGGGAAAAATAACATTACCTTGCAAATGATCTTGGAAAACTTGACATCCTTTCTACAGTGTTAGATATCAGCGAACCTGTGGCAGAAATTGGAATGCTTTATAAAAGGCAATATGCTACATGTATTTTCAGTGAATAAAAAATGCCAAAAATAGTTGAGATTGATGTGTTGCATACCTATTCCGTCAGATGGCATTGGCCGCTCAGTTGTGAAACCTAGCCCTGTTGCACTAGTGCCGTCCATAGGAGGTGAAATGCCAACCAAGTTAGACACGACACTTTGTAGCCAATCGATCTTCTTCTGTTGAGCTTCAAGTTGAGATTGTTGAGCCTCAATTTGAGTTTGCTGCGTAGCAACAATCTCCTTTGTAGAGGCCAATTCTTCCACTACATGCTGAGTTGAGCTTGATGCGCTTGAGTAAGCCCTTCTATTTGGTTTTGGTCCATGACCCCGACCTCTGACGTAACCATATGCCTTACCTAGCACATGCTCGCAAATCTGTTGCTCTGTTAAAGGTACTTCACCCTCCTCTATAGGTTCCTTTTGCTTCTGCAACATTTCTTCCTGCATTAATAATTATTTGTACCTATATCATGCACATCTTCCTAATAATAGTGCATCATCTAGTTCTGCCATCACTACTACTTAAAAGTACAAGAACCATTTCTTGCTCTCTAGTTCTCATTTGTATCTAAGTATTCCCATTGCTTAATCTCTCTCAACAGAAATTAATTTGTTACATGGTACTTACATGTTTATTCCTGGCATCTTCTGATGCCCATCCCTTCTTATCACTAGAGTAACACTCCTTGTATAGTCTGATATCGCCACAATTCTGATAATACAAGATTCAAAGTCAAAAGACATGAATATAATAAGACAGCTACAAGTTTTGATATTCTGCTTTCACCACAATTGTGACACAAGATAAAGATAAGTAATAGTGACTTACTAATTCATGTTGAACCGCTACAAATGACTTTGTTCCCTTCTTGTGAACATAAGGTAGGTTTGAGCGGTTAGCCTTCCCAATTGTGGACCGTTTCTGCATATGGTAGTTTTTTGTAAACAAATAAGGCAGGGTCAAGTGATAAGATAGATGCAAAACTGTTGACATCCATTCAAAGACTACCATACCTTAAATTCTTCTGTTTCAAAATGATCACAGAGCCAAATCCAGTCTCCAACTCTATTATCAATAAGGGGAGGATATGGATTGCTTCTAGCATCATCACCAGATTTTACATAATGTTCATAACACTTGTGACGGAAACTTTTGTAGCTTGAAGAGAATAGCAGATCCACACAGCCTTTGATATGATCTTGGGTGAAATCAAGATTGAACTTAAGCTACGAAGAAAGAACTCAAAGTTAAAACTATACATATTCTAAGTTAGAAAGTTTGATAATCTTACATACCTTTAGAAGTTCATACAACGGCTCCTTATCATCCTCAGTCAGACTATGCCACCCGGCACGTTGGATAGGTGCATGGTACCGTGTAAGAAGTCCAATCTCTCTGGAAAGTAATTCATTATTTTCTCCAATAGGTCTTCTCTCTTCGGAGATGGTCAAGTTTAGTGGATGACCTGCCCTTTTGATCAAACGCTCCAAGCCCTTTCCCTTATTTATCCCACGTACCTTCCTGGATTTTGATGCTGAGGTACTCCCAGAATGTTGACCTTGAGATTGCGGGGCATTTCTTGGTGGCCGGACTGTTCGTCCAGGTCCCATCTGCCATAGAATTAAAAGAATGGAACAATACCCAGATTGTTTATATTAGGAAGATAGGGAAATCAGATTTGCTACGTCAACAGAAATAAACCACGAGTTACATAGTAATTAGATATATTGTGGCAACATAAATAAATCATAAGTATCAATAATAATTCGAAATAACCTGAGACAGGACATATATAGTCTAATATAACCTAAAACAAGATACATATAGTCTGATATAACCTGAAACAGGATACATATAGTCTGATATACACTGAAATAGAACACCATTATTCTAATATAACCTGACACGGGACACATGTAGTCTAACATAACCTGAAATAGGAGACATATAACCCGATACAACACATAATTATTCTACCACTCTGGTTCCTCTTCAGAATTATCCTGAGAGACATGGCTCTCCTTCAAAGATGCCAACTCTTTTGGATCAGTAACAGTTTCTGGTGCAACATCATGTCAACAAAACTAAACACGCAACTTGCTTATGTAATTATTTTATATGTAGTAACATTATACTAAAATATAATATCACAACAACAGCAGCCATGGAACTCTATAATTTTATACTAGAATTGTATACAAAGACAGTCTTCAAATATTATACTACAACATTATACAAAGACAGTCTTCACAGAACAGTATTTGAAGATAGTCATCATAGAACTGCATATCCTTTCTAAACATTGTACTACTAACATATACTACAAGTCCTGATGTTGTAAGTATCAATATGCAGTAACATTATGCTGTATATTTTACTACAAGCAAAACCAAGACTATATGTATATTATGGCCCGGTTGGGCACGGCAGTATTGCCATTATTCTACTACTCTGGTTTTGAAGAGGATAATCTAACTCTCAGGATAATCTAACTCTCAGTATTGCCATTATTCTACACAACACATCAACCGGACCAAGCCAATATTGACATTATATTCAAATCACACAACCGAACTCTACATGGTAGGCCAAGCCAGTTTCCAAATCACAAACGGTAAGCTACATGTATATTTTACTTACACATTTCCACAAACACTTGAAGTGCATGATCTAGCCATCAAGTACTCCAAGGAAATTAATGGAGAGACACAGGGAAGGAGGCAAGGACAAAGAGGAGATCAGTCTTACGGGTTGAAGCTTTTTCTGGTGTTGACGGTGAGAGCGAGATCTCGTTGGCGAGCTTGGGGCGTCGGTTCCTGCAGAGCTGGTTGGGGTTGGGGAAGGAGGAACCCTAGGCGCCCCTTCCCTTCGACCACGCGGCCGCTGCCGCCGCTGCTTCACCTCCCCCACGCAGCCGAGCTGCCACCACCGCCGCAAGGGACAAGCCCGCCGCTGCCGTCGCGAGGAACATGCCCGTCGCCGCCGCCGTCGTGAGGAACACGCCCGCCGCTGCCGCAAGGAAGAGCCCCCCTCTCTTCTGCCGCGAGGAAAACGCCAGCCGTCGCGGGGAGCGCGCCCTCCGCCTTCCGCCGCCCCCTCCGCCGACAGGAACGAGTCAGCCACCAAGGAACGCGTCGGCCGCCGCCAGGGATGTCGATCTGATTTGGGGGATTTGGGGAGACGCTAGGAAGGTGACTTGCCTTTTTGCATACTAGCCCTTGGTTGCTATTTCTCCACTGGATACAAAGTCGTGAGGGTACAACACATAGGCCTATGGTGACCAAGGAACTAATTAGCTGGTTGCAATTAGTACATCTTCAGCCACCAAACCGCTTGGTGACAAAATATCTGGTGGCAAATGATATATTTTCTTGTAGTGGCAGTGCAGCAGAACTGCCTTCCCTTCTTCCGTAGCTCGACTACCTGCTCTTAAACAACTGTTTCTCCGGTAGTTGTATTTTGATGTCTTCCCTAGCACATCAACGCGGACTCATAAACCATCTGCATACATGTGGTATGTCATCCAAGGCAGACTTGTATCAGTCTGTCAAATGATCCGACCACACTTTTTCTTGTCAATGAAAGCAAAGTCGGGGGCTTTATGTGAGTCCGGAAATCAGGCACGTAAGACTTCGACATCTCGGGCCCATTAAATTCCCATCCGGTCATATTTTCTTCCATTTCATCCCTTCTCCCTTTTACTTTGCATCTACACCCTCCTCCTTCGACGTCCCTGTTATACCTCTCCAGCTCGCACACATGCATTGCCGAACCTCCGCAACCAACACTGACACGTCCGCTCTCCTTTTACGATGGCGTCGTCCATCCAGGACCTGTACGTAGGCAGGTACCCTCCCCCCTCCCCCCCCAGCCACCTATCCATCCTGATCGACGTTGTCCATGGAGGACACCACACCGGATAGGTGTTCGATCAAATGCCATTGAGCTTATGTTCGAACATCATGTCATTTTTTAGAGTATGAAGGAAGGCAGGGTACTCGACCATGAAAAATGAGTTGTTGTGCGATGCATGGTTGACTGTATTCGTGGATTCCGTAGGTAGGAGTAGACGGGATCTTCTGGCAGCACGTGCATAATTCGTTTCACGTTCGAAAGCACATTGTACCATACGCCATGCACATCATCCAACAATGCAAATGTGAGGTTGTTATTGTATCGGTGATATGCCATCCAGACCTCCGTCACCAAGTTTTGTGACGCGGTTGGTCCGCTGGAGGAAAGGTGACCATTGCGCTCTGCAGAGGAGGAGATCGTAAGTTTTGATTCTGCTTGCTCAACTTATTGATTAAATCATTCATTTAATGTTGGTCTACACATTATGTAGCCCCGCATGCGCTGCCGTGTTGTATGACACGACAGAGAGACGACCATTTATGCACATACACTGTTGGATGAAGTTGAAGAGACAGTGTGTGTATGGGGCGACATGATCCGTTCATGAAAGACTTGTTGAACATCCGGTTAGTCTTGTTGAATTTGAACTATTATTTGTACTAGATTTATTTGATTGCTATGTACAGATGATTTGTGTTATTTTCTATTTGAATTTTGATGAAATCTGCCGTTTTGCATCCATTTTGTCCGGTTAATTGAAATCCGGCTTGAAATATATGCGGGCAATGTTGAACGGCGGCCTTCCGTATTCGTGCGTGTAGATTGGTCCTTTCTGTTCATAGACGAATGCCTGAGAAAATTTGTGAGTTATTAGTGTTAGAGATGCTGGGATGTTGCTTTTTTTTGTTAAGCTACTCCCTCCGCTGCACAATATAAAATTGTTTTTGAGTACCATTTTCTCGCTAGCAGACTGCATATTTTTTTCGGAGGAGAGGCTTTCGATCTATTTATTTTCAATCATGATAGTACAATGAACATCAGAAATAATAACAATACATTCGTAGACCACCTAACGACGATTATAAGCACTGAAGCGAGCCGAAGACGCGCCCCTCGTCATCACCCCTCCCTCATTGGAGCAGGGCAGAATTTATTGTAGTAGACAGTCAGGAAGTCATCGTGTTAAGACCCCATAGGACCAAGCACCAGAACATCAACCTCCGCCGATGAAGAAAAGTTTAGATCGCAAGGATACAACCTGTAGACACATGAACAAAGAGGAACAAAGACCGGATCCAAGCGGATCCACCAAAGACAACTACCGACCGAATCCTGCGAGATCCGCCGGAGACACACCTCCACATGCCCTCCGATAATGTTAGACGCACCATCAAGACGGGGCTAGGCGGAAAGAAATTTATTCCATCTTCAAGAAGCTGACATCACCTTGTCTTTCTAAGCAGGACGCACACCCTAACAAAACATGAAGAAACACCTCTACAAACGAAGCCCTCCTGCCGGCAAGCATCAGAATCCACCATGCACCCATGATTCTAAGGTCACAGAAGATGTGATAGATTAGCAACGCCGCTGACGGGACGTAGAAACCCTAGTCGTCCTTTCTTGCATAGATTTGTTTTAAACTGCGGAGTAGTAGTTCTTTAGAAGGAACCGACAGGAAAACTCATGGAAGGCCAAATTGTCAACGAGTTGTTTGACCGTGCATGATTTGTAATTTTGTATGAGGACATCGTGGACACACAACGAGTAGCAGAATTTTGTATGTCCAGGCGGTCGACGCTGTGACCACGAGAATAGTCAGAACCCAGATCCGTTCTTAGCTCAAGTAGTACAATTCCAAAGTTGTACTTCAGGCCGTGTGATCCCTTGACTCCGTCGTCTCTTATTTGGACACGGCTGTCGGGCCACCCCGGTTCAAGCAGACCACGTAACGGGTGACGCAACAAGGTTTGCATCAATAATAAAGGGGCACCGCTATAGGACAAAATCTTTGTTCTAACCTTTTGTGCTAACAAAATCAGAAATTGACCTTGTTTGCAAAGAAATTTCAGATCTGACCTTTTTTATCACGTCAACATCTTTGACGTTTGATTTCATTAGAGACGCCAGATTTGTGGCATTTGGTCCTCACCTACACTATCCTAGCTGGCGCTGAAGTGGCACGGCTAGACGCCATGCATCTTGGCATTTGGGCAAACGCCAAGAAGCCTGGCGTTTTGAGCCCATCTATTATGAGTAATAAATAAGAAAAGCACATATATTGGCGTTTCGGAGCTACGCTTCACGTACAAACTATGCTACATGCATGAATTAATAATGGACTTGCTTCCATCAATAATTGTAGTAGGTTAATTAATTTTATCAGGAAACTATAAAGAATTAGTAGTAGGCTTTTATTTAGCAAAAAAAAAGTAGTATTGTAGAACTTATGAAACCATCCAAACATATTATATGGTTACACGGGCGGCACCTTCGGATGTGTTGGCTTGTTCGTGGTCGTGGCGCCGGAGCGCGGCCTCCTCGTTGTTGGTGTCACCGAACAACGCCTCGCCCGCCTCGTCGCCGCACTCCTTGGCGGCGGCCGCCACTTCTGCCACTCGCTGCCGGTACCGCCAGCGGGCGAGGTGTCTCTCGCGGGCGGAGCGGTAGGATTCGAGCAGCGCTTCCTGCTCCGCCAGGTCTTTGTTCGGCCTGGCGGCCCTGCCGGCGGTGACCTACTCCTCCGCCTGCAGAT